CATCATGATTAAGAGCTCCACAGCGCTCCAGTCCGAAGTACAGTTTGGAAAGTGCACCCTGGGGAGTGAAACAGCAGCAGAATCTGGGACTTTAGGAATGGAGAATTCAGAATAATTTCTGCAGCTTTGATCGAACTTCTTCAGTAACACGCTGGCTGCTTTTTGGTTCCAGTTCTCCTTTCCTTCACAGAACCTTCCCTTCAGATTAACTCTTAAGCTGTTCCTCTTACACTTGCCCTCTTGCCCTTTCATTCAATGCCTCATCACTTTTCCTTCCCTTTATTGTATTTCTTCTGGATTAAGCACCTAGCCCCCAAGCACTGACATAATGAAACATTTGCAGCAGTATTATTCTTGCGTGCTTTACACAGCTGCTTCTCCCTGAACCCACATTGTCTACTCAGTCTAAATTTTTCAAAACGTGACCTGTCCGCTACTCCGTTTCTGCCTCCTCCAAGAAGCCACAGACCTTCTACCAATGGCAGCAGTGGCAGAAAATATCACCATTGACGGTGGCAGTTCTTGACTGCAAGCCAGACTGCATACCACTGCAACAAGATGCCAGCTAGTTGAGTATTACTGTATTTAAGCTTGTTATCCCGCTAGCCTAACTTTTGGTACTATTAGCTGTTCTAGTTATCAGCAATTAATAGTGAAGTAATGACTCAGGACTAATTGCAAAGTTTCATTTCTTATGTTCTCTCATCTTGTCTTTGTGAAAAATAAAAGCTTATCTTCTTCCCAAAAAGGGGTATGAAAACTTTTTGCATTGCTGAGACATTAGTGGCTTCCAAAGCCTCGGAGAAGGACATTCTTAGCAACCTAAATAATTCAAAATTCCTGAAAGAATAAATGAATTTGTGATTTAAAAATTCACAAGTGAAAGCTATTACAATTCCTTTGCCTGGGTTTTCACCTAGTTGGTACACTGTCACGTCTAACCCACCCCCTGCCAAGTCCCCCTAATTAAAGCATTAGGGAACCTTGGCATAACCTTGTTCATACTATAAGCAATGTCTTATGATTAGTGAAGGATTTAAATTCTGAATTAAAGCTTTAGAATAAATGAGTCATATCCTGCAACAGAAAGGTCAGCAAATATACAGAAACTAAACTATCCTGAGGAAATGATATCATGACTCTTCCATGAATATTAAATTGGCCTTTGCCAAATTTATCTTAGCTTTTAACAAAGATTAATAGTGAACTTTCAGTAAACATTAGTATTCTAAAAATAATGTAAAGAGAGGGAACATTTTCTATCTTTGATTGAGGCACGCTGTTGAATGGTATTTGTATTAGTAAAGTGTCAAGTAGATAACGTATCTGCAGGATAAACAAGCACAAAAAAAGGAAGTTTCAGATGACCAACACATAACTCACTGAGAAATGTGGCTAACATAACTTGCTAAAAAAAGCATTTATGAACACTTGGCATTTGCATAGACATATTTTTACAGGTTGGGTTAAAGTTTGTTGTAGCTGGTAAGTGTAACTGTCACTGTTCATTTCAGACAGGTTTTTGTAGGGGTCTTTTGGGCTCTTACGGAAGCAGACAGCTGAAATGCCAGAGGTCTCCAAATAAAGGCAGGCACATGCCACCAGCTAAACCAAAAGCAAATCTGAGGCCACTCAGGAATCAGAGAATTTGAACTATCTGTGTGAAAGTGATTTCACTGGGTGTTTTGTGTTTGAGTACAAAGATGGGTGATAGAAAAAAACATGACAAACAGCTTAAAAGCAAACTCAGGGAAAGCCAGACACATCCACAGAAGGACTGAGGGACCATGAAGAAAAAGTCCAAAAAGTGAGCTTTTAGACTGAGTGCTGAATGAAGGCAACTTGGCATTGTGTGCAAAAAAAAAAAAAAAAAAAAAACCTGGCTTCTTTCCCTTACTTCTCCTGTTTTCAGAAAAAACAGGGCTTTGACATTCTTTATAGAGACAGCGGACCCTCACTGTTCTGGAATTCCCCGATCCCAGACAACTTGATCAGCCAAATATTAAAAACTGCTGCTGCTACTGCAACAATTTTTGTTTGCTCCCTACACTAGAAACACACTATTTCTTTTGATGTGTCTTATGCCACATACTCATTTTTCACTGCAAAAACCCAAACTCTATTTCTGAAGTATATTCATATTAGCAAAAACAACAGGGCAGAATACAATTTTCACTCACCCAGAAGATGGTATGTTCCAAAAATATTTGGATTAGCACGATTCCAGTCTGAAGACTGGATCAGAGGTAGCTGACACCAGTGTCCCCTGCTACCCTTTCCACAACTTCTGAGGCTCCCAGTTTTGGCCTAGCAAGTAAGGTCAAAAGTGGTAAGACAAACACATGAATTGCTCTCTTAACCAAGACATCCTTCTGGATCATGGACTGAAGAGAAACATAACAAAGGGTATGAAAAACTTTAGCATAGAACTAATCTAGGTCAAATTTGCAGATGGTGTAAATTGTCATTGCTCTCCTTCAGTGCACAAGGACAATTTAAACCACCTGAGAAGCTGACTTAGTGACTCTCCACTGCAAGTACCGTGCTGTGCTTGAAGTGACAGGCAGCTGCTGAAAAACTAACTCCCTCGACTATCACAGCTCATTCATGTTCAAGAATTCCAGCTCAAAACTCCTCCGGAGCAATCATTTTTTTTAAGCAACATACTGGTCCGTGGGTAATGACAATGAAAGTCTAACTTGAGAGTGAAGTCTCCAAGAATAACCAAATAGCGTGATGATGTTAACAATGAAGGCTAAGGGAACACTGATTGATGTCTCTTTGTTACACGTAGAGAAATAACACAGCATAACAGACTGGAAAAGATCATATTCTATAACCCCATTTGTAAGTTTACCATGCTCTATCTGAATACCAATTTCACTTCTTGCCTCCACCACCTCCACTGAAAACCTTCAGAATCTTACACCTCTGACAGTTATTAATCTTCTTCTCATTTGTAGCATCTGTTTATTCATGATCAGCTCATTTTATCATAGCACTGGGCTTTGACCTTAGTGCTAGTGAGCATAAAATAGCCTTTAAGGCAAGCAAGGTTTGTAGGGAGAGGTAACATCTTTTATTAGAACAACAGATGTAGCTGGAAAGAAACAAACCATTCTTCAGGTCTGAAATAGAAGAAACATACCAGTTAAATACAGCTTGGAAGCAATTGTTCTGCATAAAACAATTACCCGATTTGAGCACAAAGGTAGGATTGGTATCTGCAAAACACTGGGGATATTAGCAAGGTGTGAGATGATTAAGTCATAGGATATCCATGTGACAAAAGAGATGCCATAAATTGCTAGAATTGCAGTATTCTATATATTCCTATAGACATTGCATTACTTATGGAGCCTCTTGGCTAAGTGGCTCTGAATACACTGTATACTGTGAGGCACATACACCACCATTTCACCACAGGAACAATACTGAGGCCTGACAAGAGTCACACAGCTGGAACAGCACCCCATGAATCCCTTGGAAGTGACTTTTAGCAACACTCCTTCAGAAACTCTTTCCTCAGATTCTGGAGGGTTAAATTCTGGATATATGGATTTTACATTGTGGGCAGCTGAAAAGCTCAGAGGACAATATTTTGTAGCCAGTGAGCAAATGATGAAGGTGCTATAAAAAAAGCTATAGAGTTTCCACCTACTCTTAAGGGTATGGTGAAGACATTAGCCTCATGACAGGTGTTTCTCACAAATACTCTCGGTGTACAATCCATGTGTATATCAGTACTAGAAGGACAATGCAAGATTTAGCTCTGTAGATACTAAAGCTGCAAAGAAAATTTTAAAAGAGGCATAACATACTGGTATATTTACGCATCTAAGTATTAAAAAAGGCTACTAAGCTTTTAATTGATTTTACAAACCTTTGTATGTTTTTTAATACTTCCATACATTGATTTTATAAAAAGGAAGAACAAAAGGACACAGCGGTTTTGGTGATTCAAGCACTATTAGACAAGATATTATTTTAAAATGCACGCTCTATACTTCAAATCACTGTGTTGCTCTGAAAGCATGCAGAACCACTGCTGACTTTACTCTGCCTTTACCTAACTTCTACATCAGGACAGCCCTGCTTTTATAAACATCTGAAACAATGAAAACGAAAGCACAGGTTCTACAACGCATACTCATGGTGAGAGGTATTTATTCAAGCAAGCAGTCAAACTGGAATTAACTTACCTTAACAAGTGCTATGTTAAATGAGCAAACATTGGAGAAGAAGGCCCTTAGGAAGCTGGTATAGCATATCATTTTATGACTTTGTGTCAACATATGAGGAGTAAGCCCAATCAGGTTCAGCATATACCTCCTTAAATTTCAAGAGATGATGGTCCAACTGAATTTACTCATCTTCCTCTACATATTCCTTTCTCTAACAGTTTCGCTAAAAGCAGTAAAAAAATCTCGAGTCCTCACTCTTT